CTCTGGCAGAACCCGGGGGGGGGGGGGGGGGCGCTAGAGAAAACAGCCGAGTTCAACTAAGGCCTGTGTTGGGTCACTGACTTCCTATACCACATCCTACCTTCAGTGCCTTGGAGACAGGCTATATACTATCTAGAGTCAAGATGTGGGATGTCCTACAGAAGACCTGCTGAGTCCTGGGGAGGATACGGGGCATTGGGAGGAAGGGGTTGATAGGACAGGAGCTTGGTTAACAGAAACAAAACCAGTAAGTGTCTCAAAACAGGAGACCAGATTGCTGATGGTGGTCTACACTGGTAAGCACCAGAAACAAGGCTGGGTTCATTCTGAGGCTACAGCACACTATTGGCTTACAAACTTAAAATCTTATGTACAAAAGGCAAAAAACAGTGTCATGAAGCAAACAGAGCACCTAAGCTAAACACCCACGTGAAACACTGAGTTACAAAATCAAGTCCTTGTATAGTGGGCAGGAAAAGATCCAAACCTTGTAACTTTGTTAAGATTAAAAGGTGGCAGGGGTCGGGAATCGCCGTAAAACAGAAACAGAGAGGACTCTGGCAAAGCGAGTTTATTTTGGGGTTGGGGGGGCTGGGACTCAGCTTGGGAGTGAATGAAACTAGGGGGGTGGGGGGTAGCTTATAAAGGGAAAATGCTGAAAGTATTTTTCTGCTGTTTGGGGCTGTTCAGGGAGGGCGTGGGGTCTGTACCTGGTGAAACTTATGGAGGTAAACATCTATTATAAAATGTTTCTTACAATTATAGGGTTCCAGGAACCCATTGCAGCTACAGGGCTTGGAAACCTGTCAGCCTATGGAGTATGCTCTGGTGATCACAATACATGGGGTCACCAATTCCTGGAGTTTTTCTGTCAGCTTATAGGTGGCTGGTAGGTAGTTCCTCCTAGGGGCCTCATGGTTTCTGGGTCTGGGGTCGCCTGGACCTGAACCCTATCAGATGACAGCCATCAGTTACTAAGGCGTGGGTAGCACAAGATATAAACCATCATTTCCCACCCTAGAGATGGCCATGCATAATTCCTGATGAGCTATGGCACGCCCTAACTGGAGCGTGACTTCTTGGCAACAGAGAAAACTACTGTGTTGAAACAGTTAGATTGCTGATTCCCTCTTGGACTTAGGGTTGAACAAGGCCAGAACTTTGTTCCTGTCACAGGAGCTGGTTGTTAGGAGGCTGACTCAAATGTAAAATTCTGCCTGCTGAGATCTGTTACTCATCTCAAGGCTGAATCCATGAAAGGCCAAGTTCATCTTCTGAGAGCAGTGGCTTCAACAGGTCTTTGCTTAGAGACACACCTGCAGGACTAGGGCAGGGAGAGTGGGGTGGGGTAGGGGAGCCCTTCAGACACAGCCTCTCTGCATGCCCCCAATAGTGGATGCCTCACCCTAGCTGGCCTGAGGGGAATCTCCCTAAGGGGACTGATGCAAGAATAGTCACACAAAACTGAATGAGTGTAGGAAACCAGGCTGGCATGCCCTAGAGTGAGATGAGACTAAAAAACTTTTTAAGCCCAGGATGTGTTCTCTGCTAAAGGGAGGGGGGCTGAAAACAGCAGCACTGATAATCCATCTTGCAGAAAACTACAGGGCTAGCTGGAGAAAAGCAACCACATCAAGTTTAGGCTCCTTGCTCTGTGGAAAAGCATCTTGGTCAACAGCCCTTAGCTCATCTCCCTGTCCTGAACAAATAACTATCATTAGCTAAGAGAGTAGGCCAGGTTAAAGGTTTACTCCTGAGCTAAAGGCTTACCATGCTTTTAGCCCTAAGGAAGGAAATAATGTGGCCAAAAAATTACCAGATAGGCATTGGTAACCTTGAGTAAAAGTTCAAGCATCCTGGTTGGCGCCAACTAAAAGGCAATATATATATCCTGATTCTTTGTGCCCTAAATCTTTGTTTGTGACTGCCAGTTCCTTGTAATGTATAAAAACCCTCTGAATTTTGGAATAAACGGCTTGTTGTGAAGAAAATCACAAGTCCCAGTTACTCTCTCGCCGATCCAGTCTCTCTGAAAGCAAGGTTCCCTGCTGAACGAAGCAAACCTGGGTCTCTCGATAAATGAGTCCATTTCTGAAAGGCTTCTAGAAGTTTCCTTGATCACAAAAAGGTTTTCTCCCTCTCTGGAATGTTGTAGGGTCTTCATATGAGGCCTGGAGTTGCTTCTGCCACCTTCCCACCAGCCTAATGAAGCTAACGTGGAGGACAGAGCAGGAGGAAAGAATGTCCTTGATGAGTCCTTGTCCAGGATCTGTGCCTGGGAGATTGGTCAGGCCTGCCCACACTGGTACGTCTGTGGGAGTTGCTAGAGCAAGTGATGGGAAAATGTCCCTACCTGAACCTCAGTGTCGGCTGGTGAAGGGAAAGGTGGCTGTGTGCCATATGGGTCTCTATCTTGGAGCACTCTGAAGCTGGCTGTGGCATCCAGGAAGGAGAGGGCACCTGTAGTTGACAAGATGTCTTCCTCTCCATCCCACAGGCCTCCTCAAATTTAGCCTCACCACACAAATAGCCTGAGATCATCTTTGTTGTAGTCACAGAAACAGAACGTACCACTGAGAATCTGCTATGGCTTCACTTGCAGGACTGCCTGCTGTCTAAAACACCTCATTCAGGATCCAGTCAATGCACAGAAACACGGAAGAGGGAAGAACAGCTGCTGGGAAGGCAAGGCCAGCTCAGAAATGCATCTCCCATAGTAGGGGAAGCTAGGTTACATCTGCCTGGCACACCAGCCTCCTGATGGGGGAAGGGCAACAAGCTTGCCACTCCCCATGTGGCATCACCTCCACTTCCTGAGATTAGGGCATGGCACAAAGCTGGTTTTCTTCATCCACTGATCCCCATCAAGTCACTCTGGCTGAAATTCTCTAGAGGGGTTTTCCGAGTAATGACTGGGGCTCAGGCACAAAAGAACCCTTGGTGGCACTTAGTGGTAGGTAACCCTGGACAATTTTATTACTTTATCCCTGAATTTGAGTTGCCACATCTGTAAGATGGGGTAAGAATAGCACCCATTTCATAATTGTTTTTAAATACATTAATGCAAAGGAAGACAATTTAGAATGGGCCCTGCACATGCTAAAACTTCAACTGTGTGCAACTATTACTTAACACACTGTGCCACCCAATGGGATGGAAGGCCTAACACAGAAAACAGGTTTTGGTCACTCAATCTGGCTCCTGACACACAGCAGCCTCCACCCACCGGTCCCTCCTATTGCGAGTGGTCCTCAATATTTGCAAGATATTTGATTCAAGACAACTTAATTTGATTCAAGACAACTTGCCAGATGGCTTTCCTCTGCACAAATCATCAAGAAACGCAATCTGGACTGTTTGGACAACAGTTTAGTCTTGTAGCTTGATAGACTTGGAGGCGTTCCTGTCAATATAGAAGATCTTATCTGTAGCTGAGGAGAAGCCAAGGCCCGCCCCTCGGCTGTACTTCCAGCTCATGGCCCTGTCATAGTCCTGCTGCAGGTTCTGTTGCAGTGTGTCCGCAGACTTCTTGTCTAGGGCCATATTGGGCCTTCCAGTCATGCTGGGGGGCCGGCTGAAGGAGGGGGACAGATGCTTAAAGCCACCCATAAGTTTCAAGAATTTCAGTTTCTGTTCCTCGTTTTCAAAACCAGCAGTATCCCACTGGCCAAACTGGGTTCCCTGTGCAGAGAAAAAAAGCTATCATTTCCCTTGAATACAAATCCTCTCAGCCCCACAGAATGACACAGCTGATCTAAGTGGGAGAGCTCCAGGTAGATGGCCAGTATGCCAATCAATGGCTGTTTCACCATCCTAACGAGAGCCCTGAGAGATGTGGTTATTCCATGTTACGGATGAGGAAATGAGACCTGCAGCTTAATCAAGGGAAACACATCAAGATGGATTCCAGCTTGGGCACAAGAGCTCACCACTGACTTCAGCAAGTGCCATCAGTACACACCAGGCTAATTTACTCTCTTTCTCCCAACACATGGTGACAGTAAGAGCACTTCATCTCCTACGTAACTTCACCTGACTTTGTAACATGGCACACATCAACCTTACCTTATGATACTGCACCTCACCTCACCTTTTTCCCCCTTTGGTATGTGCATATGATGCGTGTGCACACATGTGAATGAGGGTATGCTCATGCTTTGCACACCTGTGGAGGTCAAAGGACTAACTTGTGGGTCTGTCCTTGCCTTCAACCTTCTGTGAGACACGTCTACTGATATTCCACTGGGTATGGCAGGCTGGCCTGTGAGCTTCCAGGGATTCTCCTACCTCTTCTGCTCCCTTTGTATAGTGATTTCCTCTGAATTTAAACAATTCATCCCAGGAGAGAAGCTTGGCAGGACTCACGAAGTTCCAAAAGGAGGCTCCTAAAGACTCAGGAAGTAAACTCCCAAGTCTTAGGAAGTGCCTGAAACTGACCAGATGGACCTCCCTCCCTAAGGTTAGGTGGGCATTGAGGACCACTGAGGAGACTCTTGCTTGTCAGCTACCTGCAAGTCATGCTGGGGTGGGCTTTTTGGCAACGCAGCTGTCTTTGAGTCTATCCTCTATGAGTAATCCCTCACCCATACTTCTGTAAGTAATCCCAGGAAACTTTTAAATCCAGTCCATTCCCCATGGGACCATGATAGAAGCCCCATTTTACAGTGGAAACTGAGGTTCCCTAAGGGTAAGATTCTGGGCTGGTCAGTATTTGTCAACAAACTAGAGACACCTGGGAAGAGGGAACCTCAGCTGAGGAATTTCCACCATCAGATTGACCTGTTGCCATGTCTGGGAAGCATTTTCTTAACTGGTATTTGATGCAGGAGGGCCTGGGCTGTATAAAGAGGGAAAGTGAGCAAGCCAGGGGAGCAAGCCAGTAAGCAGCATTCCTCCATGGTAGTTCCTGCCAACTCTCCTCAATGATGGACTGTCACTTGGTGTAAGATGCAATAAACTCTTTCCTCCCCCAGGTTGGTTTTGGTCTGTCTTTTATCACAGCAACAGAAAACTAACTAGAACTGACTCACACTGCCACATGGCAGAGCCAGTAACTGACCTCAGAGTCTTTGATCCAAATCAAGGTTGTCTATTCAGCAGAAGGCTAAAGCCAGAGCAGGCAGACTGGCTTTGCCTACAAGTGAGGCCCTTCCTTTCTTTTCCCCCAATCCATACCTCCCAAACACATTGCAAAGTTTTCTCTGATCCACTTCCTCTTCCTGCACCAGTGCTCTGCAGTGGCTTCCTATGGCCACTGTGCCACATAAACTCCCTACCATGGCTCAGAACTGGTCTGGCATGGCACATTAGCTCCTGTTCCTGCTACCTTGTCACCAGCATGGCCTTTGCAAAGGACCACTCTGGGTCCTCTCCCACCTTTGGACCCAGCACTTGCCACTGCCCTGTGTTCTAAGGGCTGACCCCACCATATTAGGGTCTTGGAACAAAGACCACCTGCCCTAGTCGGCCTCACTTCTAACCGAGTATAGTATCTCAGGACCATCATACCACCTATGCCTCACCACCACTAGATAGAGCATGACAAGGGACCCATAAGCCTCCACACCCAGCACAGAGTCATGGCCAGCTGAGGTGAAGGTGTGAAGAGGTAGTGCTGTGGCTAGGCCAGCTAACCTCAGTGGCTGTCCCCATGGCCCTCACCCCCTACACCTGTTCTGTATTTCCAAATAGGGTCTGGACATTTCCCAATTAAGTCCTAAGGGGTCTGACCCACTCCTGCCTCCAGGGATGCACCAAGCAGCCCTTCAAGGGCACTGCCCAGTGCTACAAAGGGCCCCCTATGATGTAGGTATCACCATCATCCACCACAGGACAAAGTCTGGACAGTGTATCTCACTGGCCACCTCCCTAGCATGAAGGCCAGCACCCCTACAGGGGGAAGGAAACTGGTTCAGGACCAACTTTGTGTCAAGCTGACTGGGCAGCTCAGGTTCTGAACACCAGGCCCACCACAGAGAACCCACCGTCCACTTCCTGGGTTCTGAAGCTTCCGTCTTGCCTGACTCCCGATCAATCTCTTCTTGCAAGGCCTTCCGCCTCACCTAGGCAGAAGGATGAAAGAAACCAATGAGCCCCAGAAGTTCTCTTTTGATCTTAAAACCCAGGGCAGAGGTGGGGCTGGGGCTGTAAGGTGGCCGGTCATGAGCTTCCCTCGGCTATAGATAACATGGATGCTCTGGGTGACAGTTCACTCCCAGGGCTGCAATCCCTGAAAACACATACACCTCACTTATTGCCTTGGGCACAATTTCTTGAGAAGAGATTTTGTAACAGAAGCGCTTCTGCCTTACCAACAGAGCATTTTGTAATGGTGATTTGACTGGAAACTTTACACCACAATGCCAAGGCCTGTCTTGTGTAAAGGGTACTGTAGTCAACTTCTGTGGTAATGGCACTGCTTTCTAGAAAGGCAAAGGCTAGCCGTGTGGCCTTGTAACACTGACCTAACCTCTGAACACTAGACTATTTATCTGCAACAAGAACTCTTCAGGAACCCCAAGAAACAGAAACACCTGCAAGGGAACAGTGGGCACCAGAGTAGACATGAGTCACTCTCAGTTGCTCAAGGCCTCCACTGGTGCACCAGCAGCAATCCACAGTTCAATATGGAAGCTTCCAGGCCTTATCTGTCTTCCCAAGGATTCAGATGCAACTGATTTCCCCCTCCCCTCCCCACCTTCTATTTTGCATCCATGAAATCTACAGCGACTGCTGGAGGGGAGAAAACCAGGGGAACGGTGCCAAGTAGGATGACGGGACAGACGTGTATTCACCAAGACAGAAGCAGTGAGTGGACAGAACAGTGCACACAGCATGAATCCTGTTTCAGTCACACACATAAAATTACAAGGGAAGACTCTGGAAGGGCAAGAAGAGTTAACACTGATGAGTGTTTTTCCTCTCCGATATGTTACCTTCCTGGATTTTTAGCATTAATGGGGAAAAACAGAATGGGAGACCCAGTCAGTAGGTCACCCTAAATGGTGATGAACCTTCTCAGAAACTACATTTATTTAGCAGACAGAACCACAATGCAAGGGCTCTGTACCCAATGCCAGGTGTGAATCCTCAGGAGCCTAGCATCTGGCTGAGTCCTTGGGGGCTAAGGAGAGCCAATAGTAGCCAAGGGATAGGGCCTGGGAGAACTGGGGCCTATGGCTGACCCCTCTGCACAGTGACCCTGCTGGGCAAAGCAGGCCTGTACCCTGCAAGGTTAGGAGTTGTCTGGAGGTCAGTGCTTACTGCCAGGCCCTGGCGAGCAGCTCTAGCAGTATCACTCCTCCGATCCTCTTGGCTTTACTGTGTTACCCTCCTCTGAGCAAGGTTCCCCAAGCACACATCAGGTTTAGCATTTCATCTCTTCTGGGTCGCTCTCCTCAGACTCTACCTACTTCTAAACACTACCTCCATTTCCCTTTCGCTCCCTGGGTAATGCTGACCAGGAGGCAGAGTGGTTCATCCTTGTCACACTGCAGCCTCAGCAGAAGGACGCGTGAGGACCAGCTGCCTTCTGAACCTGTGACCCCTTCCAACATGCCTTCCACCTGGCCTCCACAGCAGCCTGTGAGGTCTGTGCTGAATCACAAAAGTAAGGTCAGCAGCCCAGTGAAGCAGAAATCGACACCAGGCCTCTGCAGCTGCCCCTCGGTCCTGCCAGGCCCTAGGGTATAGGCACATGAAAATACCAGTTTCACCAAGTCCCGTTCCTATGGAGGACACATTTGCAGGAGATCTAGGCATTGACAGAGCAGAAGCTGGTCTACAAGACACTTCTCTCTCAAGCTCCTGAACTAGCCTGAGGGAAGACACCCCATAGGTGTGGTTGAGTGTGTGTGCCTGCCCTAGCTACAGGGTTATGGGAACTTATCTTCTTGATGCCCTGCAGTACGCTACATGGAATGGCCAGCCAAGCCCAGTCAGGCCCCTCAGCAATGGCCACGGCAGCTTTAGGATTCCCCTTGCTGAGATGTAGGACGGAATGAGTTCCCTGTTCGTGGGGATGAGCTACAAAGGCTGGCCAAGAGGCCTTCAGGGACACTGGCCCTTTGAGCCCAGGGCCTTGGTGGTCTGATGGGTGGTTAAGTGTGCTTCTGAGGTGACAAGGGGGTGGTGGGGCACGGGGCAGGCTGGGTTGTACCTGATCTATGTGGGCCTCGTCCATGTTGCCTTTCTTTTCCAGAACCACCTCCAAGTCTGTGTCCGACTCCTGCAGAGAGGGCATATAAGGCGAAGGCTCAAGCAAGCCATGAATGGCTCTAGCCCCAGCAGTCAGGTTCAGGAAGGCCCTGTTGACCTGACACTACCTCAGTCCACCTGCCCACTCTCTTCCACACATCTCTACAGCAAACGGTGGCATTAAGCATCTGATAGAGAAACTGAGGCTTAGAGAGGTAAAGGGACTACCACCAGGTCACCCTACAGCTCAGGGACAGGGCTGACTCTAATCCAGGTCTCTTGATTCAGTGCTTGGTGTGCAACCTTTCCTACCTGACCTCCCACGGTGACACTAGCAGGATGAGGCCAACTGCCCAGCTGGCAGCAGAGGACTGCCAGGGCCAGGGCATGTTGAGGTGGCTTGGGAGACCTGCCAGCAAACAGACCACCCAGCCCCATCCAGCTATCTTCTCTGTGATGCCACCCAATCCTGGTGGCCACCATGCTTCCTGCCCCCAACAGTGCTTCCTGCCCCCGACTACCAGCCCACTGCCCTCTCAGCTCAAGTGAGCTAATGCCTCAATCAAGTCTTGTCAGCTACTTTCCCAAATCCCCAAGGTTCCCACCATGTTCTTGGGCAAATCCAGGTTGGTATGGCCCCTATAAGTCCATTTTTGGCCCCAGTGCCAGAGGCCACACGGTCCTCCCACCTGGGCTTTGACATCTCTGGGCCCAATGCCCTCACACGGATCTCAACCCTGTTTACCCAGGGGCACTCTGTAACTGTGAGATGCTGTGCTTGGCCCTAGAGTGATGCATGTGTGTGTGCCTGAGATGAACTGGGGATGGCTTTCTTTCCTCTACCACTCATCCTGGCCTGCGTGCATAGCAGACTCAGCAAACTGTTTGGGCTGTTCTAGAAGATGTGAGGCAGTGGGGACATATTTGGGGGAAGAGGTTCTAGAATCAAAAGGGAACTGGCTTCAAACCCGTAGGCTCCTCCACACCAAGTTTTCTGTGTGCTTCATACATGTGTGTAGGTACATGTGCCCCCTTTACACGTGTGAAGGCCACATGGTGTCTTCCTCTGCCTTATTTCCCTGAGGGTCTCCCACTGGATTGGAAGCTGGCCAGCGACCTCTTGGGACCTGCCTGTTTTCACCCCTAATGCTAGGGTTATAGGTATGTGCAGTCACACCCAGATTTTTACATGGGTGCTGTGGATTTGAACTCAGGTCCTCACTCTTACCCACTGAGCAATCTCCCCAATCCTGAACCTGGCTTTTTAAAGCAGTAAGGTTTGTTCTTTCTTTCAAACTGAATTAGAAGCAATCCTGACATAGGGAGTTTCTGAACAGAAAACAGTGGAGCTGGTGAGATGAACCGAGTTTGAGTCCCTGGACCCACATAGGCAGAAGCAGAGAACTTACTCCCACAGTTACCCTCTGACCTCCACATACAAATAAATGTAATAAAAAGACATTAGGCCTCCCCTGAGGCCTCCCCCTCAGGCAATGACCAGCCTGAGGTCACCCTAACAGCTGGCAGTCAAGAGTAGAAGGTAGGACTGCTCTCAAGGACAACGCTCATTTCTTGGGCTCCCGTGACACTGGCTTTTTGGAGCTCTGAGAAGGGACCTTCCAAGCCAGAAGCCACACTGCCTGGGTTTGAGTTCAACTCCACTTCTATCCAGCTGGGTGGCCTCAAACAAGGTCTTCCAACTCTCTGGAGCCTCAGTTTCCTTATGTGAACTGGGGAGGGCCAGAGCAGCTTCCTCACCATACCGGTGGGAGAATGAAACAGGTTAATGTAAGCAAAGGGCCGAGCACCAGGCACATGTGGTTCCTACATTGTGTGTGGAGAACTGCAGCAGTTTCAGCAGCTAGACACTGGGCACCTGAGATTTGGACAGCAAGTGGAAAGTGTGTTCAAAACACAAGCCATTCATCTGGGAAACTGATCCCCATTCACTTAGAATCTTGAGTACAGAGATAGTGACGACCTGTACTGGTGATACTACAGAAAGCCCTGGATCAAGCTGTATCTTGGTAGCCAACTCCTATCCTTTCCAGTATGTGTCAATAACCACCCCCGGCCCCAGGATTCTGGCAGCTAAAAGCACAATCGCCCATGCTGACCCCACCCATATTCCCCGAAGAATCCACTTCTGAAGGAAAACCTACTACCTCCTCCTTCTCCTGCTCCCAGGAATTGTCTGTCGCTCCACTCTCTCTCTTCTTCTTCTTCTTCTTCCTTTTCACAGCCGGCCCCTCACCAACTAGCTCTTCAACTTTTTTCTTGGATTTCCCTTTCTTCTTCCCTGAGGCCTCCCGGCTGTCTACTGGGGTGTATTCCAGAACTTCATCTTTGACTGGCTTCTTCTTGCTTCCTTTCTTTGGGCTGTTCTCCACGTACCTGGCGGGCTTGGAGTGGACCGGGAGGGCATCTCCCTCCGGGTGGGTTTTCTTCTTCTTCTTCATGCTGTGCTTTCTGGGGCTCCCCTGCTTCCGTTTCTGCCCCAAAGCTGCTTGCACCTCAGCCTCTGACTCCCTTGAGCATGGGTATAGAGCATCTCCAGCCTCACAGAGCCAAGAGTCCTGGGAAGAAGGGGTTGCAGCATCTGGAATCTTTTTCTCCTTATGTTTTTTGAGCTTCTTACCAGCTTTGCTTACCTCCTCACCCTGCTTTGGGTATGCTTTCGCTCCCAAGCCTTGGGTAGCTTGTGGTAAGGACATCCTATTCTTTTTCTTCTCTCCGCTAAGGCATTCCAAGTGGTTGAGGGCCTGCCTCCTAGGGCTGGGTGACTTTGTCTGTCCAGCCCATGTCATGGGCTCAGGCTCCTCAAAAAGGGTGCCATGGCCCTTCTTCTTCTTCTTCTTCTTGCTCAGTGGCATCTCAGGGACCTGCTCTTTACCCATATCATTCGAGAGGGATGTGGCCCTCGGCAGAGAAACATCCACAAAACAATCATTACTGTTTAACACAGAGTACTGAGTCTCTGGGTCTTTGATCACTGCAACCACCACCTTCTTTTTCCTCTTCTTCTTCTTCTCTGGGAGACTTAGGTCCAGCTCTACTTTCTGAGTCTTGGTGACCATTCCTAAAATGAGAAAGAAAATAACAGTGCAATTTATCACCACACCCATACCCAGTCCTGGGATGTGGTCCCCTATGTTCCCCAAAATGTTTTCCTGGGAGTGGGGTGGTTTGAAATGTTGAACGCTGGCTCAGCAGTTAAGGGCATTGGCTGCTCTCAGCAGTTAAGGGCATTGGCTGCTCTCACAGAGGATATGTGTTTGGTTCCCAGCACCCACATGGAGGCAAACAACCTTCTGGAACTCCAGTTCCAGGGGATCCGATGCCCTTCTGACCTTCACAGGCATTGCACAACATGGACGTACTTAATCATGCAAGCAAAACACTAAGACACATAAAATGTTAAATGCTGAGGGATGGAGAAAATGATCCTGATTCCTTTGGAGGAAAGGGAAAGCCAATCAAATGGCAGAAGTTTAAATCCTGATAGCCATGAGTTCAAATCCAAACTGTTCACTTCCTTTGAATCTATCACCTAACCTCCCTGAGCCTGTTTCCTCTTTTGCGTGGAAAATAGCACACCCATCTTCAAAGGGATGGTGGATACAGTAAGGGCCAGGGATACTTTTTTACCATCTTCCTGAAACCTCCAGATCTAAATTTAATAGATACTTACCAAGCGGCTACCTAAGCCAGCCACTGTGGGATACAACTGCAACTAAGCCAGACACCAGCCTGGCTGCTGACCTCCCCTGCTTCCCTCACAGCAGATGAAGCAGACGGAAATCCCAAGAACTCTTGCAGATTCCCACCAGCTGTAGTAACCAGGCATAATGAATCCCTTCCTCTGACTCACCTTAAGAGTACTCCTGCTCTGGGTCTGGAAACAAACCTTGTCCCCCAACTTATAGCATCCTAGCTGCCTAAACAATGGCATAGTGAGGAAAAGTCCCAGCTAGGCCTCTAAACACTTCAGTCAAATGAGTAGCTCTGACATACTCGTTTCATACACCCTTGGCTTCTTTGTGCCTCAGTTTCCCCATCCATACAGAAAGGCGGAACCAGAAGTTGTTCAATTTGAGAGCTGCCTCCAGTCTATAGGCCTGTCTCACTGCCTTTTAAATGTCAAATTAACTGCTAACATTTAATGAATGACAGTAATACATAGCAACCTCCACGGCCTGGCTTTTCTCAGGCATGTAGGCACTTATGATGGGGGCTGGGGTCCTTTATATATTTCTGCTTCCAGCTGGACCCTCATTTCAGTTGTCTCCAGCTGGGTTCCTACTGCTTCCTGGGCTACAGAACATGAGCAACTTCAGGAAATCTAGAAACAAAGCACAGGAGGTTCTGCGGGTGGCAGTGTTCCTCCACCTTGCAACGTAACACACCTTGGCCTCAGAGCTCACAGGGTCCACACTGGCCTCAGCTCATTCTTAGCAGCTTCAAAGAGCTAGGGGCACACGGAGAACCCTGTGGATATCTAAACCCATCCATTCATCTCCGTCTGCCAGGTTTCCTGGTGTATTCCCAGAGATAGATCAGTGGCTGGCATGCATCAGGTGCTCAATATTCAAACAAATACTAGAGATACAGAAATGGAATAAGACAAAACACCAGGCATCAAAAGGCAGGTGGGTTGGGAAAAGTATAAGACGATGCAGGTGACAAGAGGAAGAGCATGGTGGCATGCCTGTAATCCCAGTATTTGGAGAGGCAGAGGCAAGGGGAATTGCCCTACCACAAGTTAGAGGACAGCTGGGTCTACTTATCAAGTTCTTCACCAGCCACGGTTAGATAGCAAGACTGGCTCCACACCCCTCCCCCTCAAAAAAAAAAAAAAAAAAAAAAAAAGAACGAGGGTGGTTAAGCTCAGGGTGAGGAAGATCACATGACCTCCCCTACCAGTTGTCAAGAAAATGTCTGTAAATAGGGCATTCCAAGTTGGGCAACAAATAGATGGTAGTGTCACCCAAGGCACAGAAAGAGAAAGCTGACTGACTGGGTAGCAAGAAATGGGCAGGCTTGGGCCGATGCCTTCAGGCACCCAAGTAATTTTCACTGAACAGGTAGCTATGAGTCTGCGTGGCTATGAGTGACTGTGTCCAACATAGATGGCATCAACAGGACTAAAAAGGATGAGCCTGAGACAGAACCTCAAGGCATACAGACTTTTAAAGAGGTGGGCTGAGGAAGAGGGACTGGAAGAGGAGAGGAAAATACCAGCCCTTAGAGGGTGGAGTCAAATAAGCCCTAGGCGGTGCCAATAAACAAGCCAGCTTTACTCACTTCCTCCCATCTCTGCGATTCAACCCCCTGTAACATCCTCCTCTGCAGTCCTGTGACCCCTACCCCCATCCCACAGATACCGTACTCTTGCCAAGAACCAAGGGAGAAATGAACCTTACAGCGCATCACCTATAAACTCAAATGCTTTCTTCAAAAGAGCTTTGCTTTTGAGACAAAGTCTCACTAAGGCAGCCCAGACAGGCCTGCAACTCACGATCCTCTTGCCTCAGCATCCCGAGGCTTACGGAGCACAAAAGCGCTCTTCAATTCCTGCGGTAGCCTCGTTTGGGATTGCTGTGACCATCAAACCGCACAGGTCGTGGCGACGTTAATTCACGCGTGCTGGGTCTCCAAGCCAGCAAGTGGCAGAACGGGGATTCGAACCCGGCCCGGAGGCCTTGAGCCCCTGTGCAGCGCTCACCCACCGCAGGCTGCTGGCAGGGCCCCAAGCAGCCCACAACCAGGCTCACGCGGCGTTCCCAGGCCGGTAGAACTCGGGAGGCGGCACGGGGCGCCCCCAGAGCTGCGGGCGGGTCTGTGGTGACCGGTCGTTGTCCTTCCTGTCCTGACTTGGCGGCCCCACCGCGCCGCCGCTCTCACCTGATGCACCCACAGACCAAGCCTTCCGGCCTCCACGTGAGACGCTGCTCTGCCGCGACCCGGAAGTCAACTTGGAGCTCCGGGCCCGTTCCCGCGAGGGCCGTCTCCTTCCGGGTCGCGGGCGCGCGGTTGCCGTGGAGATCGCGTCCATGGCGGCGCTGGGTCAGGCGTCCAGCCGCAGCATGCCCCCCGAGGGGGCGGGCGGTTCGGTGGATTTGTCGGTCACCACGCGCAGTCCCGTGCCCGCCGTGTCCCCCGAGAGGCCCGTGTCGCCCGGGCAGGTGGCGGAGCCGCCCGGCAAGAACCTGTGGGAACAGATCTGCGAGGGTAGGCGGCCGCCAGTGGCCGATCCGGGCGCTACGCGGGCGGGACCCGCGGGGCCGGGCGTCCCGAGGCCTCTGTGAGCCAAGCGGGTGACGCGCGCGGGTCCCCCGGCTGCGCCTTGCACCCACGCGGGGAAACTGAGGCGGGTCCTGGAGCGATCGCAGGCCCCAGGAAGGAAGGCCGGGGAAACAGAAAGGGCGGAGAGCGGGTGTGGACCCCGGGGTCCGTAACAGAAACTTCCGCGCGCGGGCCCTGCCCACACAGCTGCCGGTGGTACCCAGGGAGTCTGCACTTTAGCCAGCGGCCCAGGTGGGGAGTCGGTGACCCTCCCCGCGGTGTAGAAAGAGGGGTTCTGATCCCCGTCTTGCTTCAAACCTTCCTCAACGCCCACAAACAGGGTTTAATTAACTGGCTCCTTTGTAGCACCCACATTCCTTGGAGATGAGGTCTTCGAATATTCTCACGTTACTTACCTCCCTTTATTAAAATGTCATAACAGTGGCACCTACTTTGTGATGTTAGGAGGATGGAAACACATAGTTGCAGAGCCTTGGTATAGCAAGAGTGTAAATTTGCTCTTCTGCGAAACTTTAAAGTCAAAGACCCAGATTCGTTCATATTACCCACCAAGTCTCCCTAAATAGCTCTCCCCCACCTCCCGTCTGTCTTCTCTCTCCACTCCAGGCTGAAATCCTCCTGCCTCAGCCTGCCAAGTACTGGGAGAGTGTTCATTTGTGTTTGCTGTCTGTACTACATTAACAGAACTTTGAATAATTTGTGCCGTCAACCATGGCGTTGGAGATGTGGTTTGAGACTGGCACAGTTGAAGAACCAAATTCCTATTGTGCTAAATGTGTTAAAATGAGTTGAAAGAAATAGAGAATACAGTGGAAGAAGGGTGGTGGGTTCAGAGTCAGTAAGCACCCCTCACAACCATCTATTTCAACCACACCCAAGGCTTAAATTCCTGCTTCAGCATTACACTGCCCTAGAGAAAAGTCATTTCATTCTGATGCTTTTGTAACTTCCACTCCCGAGGTCCTTACCCAAAGGGTTGATCTGGATATTCATTGTGGTTGTATTCTACCTAGAGCATTCATTTCCCCAGGCCTAACAGTTCTTTATAGTAGCTATGGTGGGGTAGTGTAGGAGTTACCTTTCTCATTGCTGTGACAGAATTCCTGTCAAAAGCAACATAAAACATAAGGAAGGAAGGGTTTATTTGGCTCACAGTTTGAGAGCACAGTCTGTTGTGGTGGCAGGAGCATGAGGCAGTGGTCCCATTGCATCTGCAGTCAGGAAGAAGAGAAGGATGAATGCTGGTGCTTGGGACCCTGGTGCATGGAAGGGTGCTGCACAGATCAGACTTGGTCTTCCTACCCTGGTCAACCTAATCTAGAAAATCCCTCACAAGTTCACCCAGATGCAAGTGCATAGCTGTTTGTTCTCTTCATTCTCTCTGTCCCTCCCTCTCTCTCTCTCTATCTCCTTTGTGATTCTAGATCTTGTTGAATTCACAATATTAACAATATTAACCGTCATAATTAGTCTCCTCTCTGAGGATAATTGCTACCTCACAGTGCTATTAGGGGGACCAAATGAGATAATATATGAGAAGGTACCCTACATCTTGAAGGATTCAATACATGTTCACTATTAGTGGTAATGAATCATGCTTTGAGGGCTGGAGAAATAGATCAGTGGTCAAGAGTGCTTTTTGCTCTTCCTGAGGATCTTAGTTGTGTTCCCAGCACCCACATCAGGAGGCTCACAACTGCTTGTAATTCTAGCTTTAGGGCTCTGGGGGAATCCTATGCCTCTGGCCTCTGTGGGCTCTTGCACTCACATGCACATATTCCTACCTAGACACATACAATTTAAAAAAAATAATAAATTTTAAAAAGGAATCATGCTTTGCCTCCTCTTGTAGAATCAGTTTGTGTGAGGAGAGAGCAAAGGCCAGGGTTTCAGTAATCTCTGAAAAGCAAGCGAATTGATGCCTCTTGTAATAGAGTTGAAAAATGAAGCTACTGAGGTCGAAGATGGTAAGTTCTACACATGGCGCCATGATGATTTTAACCTAAATGACCAAAGCCATTTCTTAAACAGGTAATCAGTGCAGTTTTATATAGTAAACATATAGAAAGTAAATTCAGCTTTCCACAAGAAACAGGATGCCAGGTGTAGTGGCACACACCTGTAATCCTAGAAGCAGGATGAGCAAGAGTTCAAGCTCTGCCAGGGCTATGTGGTGAGATTCTCTCAAAAGAACCATGAAAAAGAGAGAGTGGGAGAAAGAACAAAAGTTTATGTTCTTTCTGGTACTCTTATCTTTGAAGTTAAATATGGCATTCTATTAGGATGGATCCATTAAAATTTTTTACAATCACCAGACCTAGCAGAAGCTGAACTTTATGAATACAAGATAAAGCAGAGGCAGTTTTTAAAAAAATTATTTTATGTGTATGATTGTATTGCCTACATGTAGGTAAGTGTGCCCATATAAGTGCGCCCATGTCGTGCAATGCCCATGGAGGACAGAAGAGGCCGTCAGAGCCCCTGGAACTGGAGTTACAGACAGTTGTTAGCTGCCATGTGGGTGCTGGGATTCGAACCCGGGTCTTCTGCAAGAAAATCCACTGTTCTTAACTGCTGAGCCATCTCTCCAGCTCCAGCGTAGGCAGATATTTAAGTCCTCTGTCCTCTCTGGCTCTTGCTGTTGTGTGTGCCATGCTCGCCTGTACAGTAATTTATGTGTAAGTGTTCCTTGGTTTTCCTCCTCCTCTTTTCGGTAACACCTAGAGACTTTGTATTCTCAGCATGTTTGTATTATTCTCAATAAACTTCTTCTATGCTTTAATGAAATCCTTGAGTGGTTTGTGATGTTAATGGTTTTAACTAAGAGTGAGTTTTGGTGTTCTGGGCTCATAGTTTCCTATTTTGATCCTGAGGTGATTACTGTTATCAATTTATCAATATCCTCGTGATGTTCTTAGCTCATCATTCATTCATTCTCCAGTTGAACAGCCCTCTAACAGTGTTGTTAGAAAATCAGGTTCTCTTACAAGCTCTCAAATCCCAGTATGGATCAGCTCTGATTGGGTGCTTTGCTTCTTCCTCCAGCAGAGCAGCTGAGCAAGCCAGAGAAAATGACATCAACCAGCTCAGGTACTGCTCATCAATCAGTGTCCACCAGTTCTTTACCCATATCCACTGATCCAGGTTTTAACCCAAATGAATGGTACTGCCACTTAGCACAAGTCACATTTACTGAGAAGATTCTGGCAATTGGGAGTAGGCAGGAAATCCCACTTCTTCATACCAGCACACAGATTTGATCTGTATACTTGGCAGGACACATCCCACCACCCATGGCCCTGTCATATCTGGAAAACACTATCTTGCAGCAGTCCCCCACTACTTCTGGCTCATAAGGCCTGTATGCTCCCCCTCTTCCACGATGATCCCTGAACCATAGAGGGAGAGGGTGTGATACAGACATTCCAGTTAGGGCTGAGCACACTGCACACTATAGTCTCTTATTCTCTGCATCTTGAATCTGTATTAATTACCATCTACTGAAAAAAAAAAAAAGCTACTCTGAGGAGGACCAAGCCCTGTATTAATCTATGAGTATAAAAATAAGTATTTAGGGAGCGTTTAATACTATATCCATTTAGCAAGATAATGGCAGTAGGTTCTCCCCTAGGGCCTTCCCAGCTTTGGGTTCTCGGTCCAGTTAACAGTACCAGGCATGAGTTCCATCTTGTTGAGTAGGCCTTAAATCCAACCAGAAAGCAATTGCTTACTTCCATAACATTTATGCCACAATCATAACGATGCATTTCCTGGCAGGCCACTTGTTTGCTATAGCTATCAGTGTCCACAGCTGAGTGAGACTGTTGGTTCCTTTTCTCCCCCAGTAGTGTGCATAGCACCTTCCTGTATGCCAGCTATCTTAAACATTATAGAGACTTCACGTGGCAAACACAACTTTCCTGAAGCTATTTTTGCATAGTTGGATGCAATCATTTCAGCTGTTTATCTTTTGTGGTCTTAGAATGAAGAAGTTTGTGTCTTGTCTGTCAAATTTAGATGAACTAAGAGATTTTGTTGAGAGAACTATAAATGGAAAGAAATAATGAAAATGCAAATAAAAGTACAATATTTTAAGTTTGTGCAAGACTGATTATACCATAAACAGTCCCATTATTAGATGTGTATATTACTGTAAACTTTTTTATATGTATGTGTGTGTGCATGTATATGTATGCCTGTTTGCATGTGGGTGTGTGGGTGTGTGATGTACAACTGCTTGTGTTGGCCCAAAGTTGACATCAGGTGCCTTCCTTGATCATTCTTGACCTATGAGGCAGGATCTCTCCTGACCCTGGGTCTCTCTGTTTCTGCTCGTCTGATTAGCCAGTTTGTTCCACAGACCCCCTGTCTCCACCTCCCTTGGTTGGGATTAAAGGCCACCCACTGGCTTTTACATGGGTTCTGAGAATCCAAACTCCAGTCCTCAACCCGGTGTGGCAAGTACAACACCCACTAACCCATCTCTCTAGCCCATATTAGAAACTTTTTGTGAGAAAATTAAGCAGGTTTTTTTTTTTGACAAAACAATTCAAATTACATCTAAGAATCCTACAAAAATACACATGGGTTGATAATATATTTAACAAAGTGTGCACTTGTTAAGTAAATGTGGCCTACCTATGTAGCACTATCGATGGGCCCAATATTCAACACTTGGAATGGCTCCTGGTACAAAATGGTTAATGAATGGATCCAAAGGTTACTTGCTGTGTTTTATCTATTAGACAAGATAGTCTTGGGGAGGAGGCACGAAGAAGGGTGTGTGGGAGGGATTGAATAAGAACAAAGTGCAATGGAACATAATGATGCCATGATGAAGTCCACTTCTTTGTGTTAACCTGAAAGGTTTATTTTAGGACTATAAGATTGGTCAGTGGCACTTGCCACCAAGCCTGATGACCTGAGTTTTATCCCTGGGAAGCACGTGGTGGAAGGAGATAAAGTACTCCCACAAGTTGTCCTCTAACTGCCACATGCACTTGCAGCACAAGCATAGGGACCTAAGCTCAAATCTCTAGAACCTACATGAAGATGGACGTGGTAGCACACATTCACCTGTAATCCTAGCAGTCCTACAGAGAGATGGGAGAAGGGAACAGAGAACCCCAGAGCCTCATGGGCCAGTGAGCCTGGTGTATGCAGCAGAAAATAAACAAGAGCCCTGTTGGCAGAGAAGTGGAAGGTGAGAACTGGTACTCAAGGTCGTCCTCTGACCTCCATACACGCACTGTGGCGCAGGTGTACTTGCATTCACACACATATATAAATTCAAATAAGGGGAAATTGGTGTGTATTATAAATAAGAAAGAATGATACAAACGTGTATATACTTACATACATAATTAGTAAATATGTTGAAAAAGATTTGGTTGGGTCTGTGCTGAGTATAACAATGATTCTAGTGCTATAGTGGGATTGGATGTGGTTTTCACATCTTTATAAGATACCTCTGTATTAGTTGAGATTTTCTTTCAATAAGTATTATTTTTGTATTTGGAAAAAGGTATAAATATATATATTTTAAACCCGAATAAACAGTTTTCACACATGTTAGTGGTTCTCAAGATGGTAGGGGAAGAAGTGTGAATTGAATGTTTTCCTGAGCGGGAAGGAAGGTGGTACTGCTACCTACCTGGTTTGGTAGACACAATTCTAATGTCCCTAGATTCTCATACCCTAGTGCCACACCTTCCTGTTATTCAAACACTAGTCTAGGTGTTTCTGTGAAGACCTCTTCAGATGTTAACTCCTTATCAGTTGACTTTAAAGTAAGGAAGTTATTGCAGGTGGGCCTTCCCTAAACAGACAGGTTCTTGTCAGAAGTCAGAGATTCATATGGAAGCCTCTAATGTCTTCAAAGCACTGAAGGAGCACAGCTGTGTTGTAGATGGGCCGAGGCGAGAGTTGAGGGCCATCACTGAGAACTGACAGCCAACAGATAGTAGAGACTTCAGACCTACAGCTACAAGAAACTGAATTCTGAAAACAACTAGTGAACTTTGAAAAGGACTTCAACTCTTAGTTAAATGCAGCCCTGGCTGATGGTTTGATTCCTGCATGGTGAAGCCTCAGACCATTTACACTTACAGACTTCTGACTCAAGAGAATTGTGAGATAGAACATTTGTATTGCTTTATTATTTTATTTTTATTTTGGGGATTTTTTTTTTTTTTTTTTTTTTTTTAGAAAGGGTCTCACTATATAGCCTAGGCTGACCTCTAACCCTACTCTTGATATTCCTGTCCCAGCCACCTGAGTGCTGGAATTACTCATGGCGTGTGCCACCATGTCTTTATATATATATAAAGAAGAGCTTATTTGAGCCGCAAGTTTGGGATGGACTCCAGCCTGCTTTATCCAGTTTAGAAGCTTTTCTCTTCAGTGACCCCCAAAGCATTTTCCTTTCACAAGTTGGAGGCTTAACTAGGTATGGTCTTGCCCTGGAGGCACTCTCTCTATTGTTTAAGTACAAATCTCTAGGCCTCTCAATAACTTTAATCTCCTTATCCAAGGGATTCTCTCCAGCACATACCTGGGCTCCAACATTAATCTTCCTAGTGCTTTTTCAATCCATACTGTACATTCTATATTTTTTTCTGCCCTATTTGCTATTTTTCACTGTAAGTCTGTATAATATTCACCATTAATAGCCATGCCATCTTTTCTACATTATGCTGTCTTGGTATTTCTTCAGTCCGTAACTTTTCAACTTAGCCTCAAGCAAGCTTTTTGGCTGAGGGCAGACTCCAGCCAAACTCTGCCAAAATATCCCAATTGCTACTTAAGTCCTTATTTCCCTCTGGAACTACATTGTTCTCAGCACTACTTTCTTCTAGGCTTCTACTAGAATCACCTGTTAAGCTCTCCTTACAGCAATCAACTACTTTTCTAGTCCAAGCTTCCAGTCTTCCACATTCTTCCAAAACCCCACATGGTCAGATTCTTCACAGCCAACAGCCCATTTTCCATCACCAATTAGTGTATTAGTTACTTTTCTGTTGCTGTGATAGAAACACTGACCAAAGCAATTGGTAGAAGGAAGAACTTATTTGACCTTACAGTTCCAAAGGGGCAAGAGTCCCATTATGGCAGAGGTGGCTGGAGGAGGAGTGGAAGCTACGCTTTACATCTTTAAGCCTAGCTTTTATATTGTTTTAAATCCCTAAATGTACGGCATAGTAGTGTCCCCCCATCTGATGTTTCACTTTCTGAACTTTTTTTTTTTTTCCTTTTAAAATATGGTATTTTTATTAATTCTTTGAGAATTTTTTTTTATTTTTAAAAATGATTTATTTAATAACAACATACTTAGAAGAAGCATATCATTACAACACAATTGACATATTCAATAACGTTTTCCTGAGGTAGGATGCATCTCTTTCAAATTTGGCTGTAAATTTTTAGGTTTACAGTTGAATTATTACAGTTATA